CAAAGCCACAGCACTGGCCTCTAACCGCAAAGCCACAGCACTGGCCTCTAACCGCAAAGCCACAGCACTGGCCTCTAACCGCAAAGCCACAGCACTGGCCTCTAACCGCAAAGCCAAAGCCCTGGCCTCTAACCACAAAGCCACAGCACTGGCCTCTAACCGCAAAGCCACAGTACTCTAACCGCAAAACCACAGCATTGGCCTTCTTGAGGCCTCAGCTTTGATATGTACGGGGGCACAGCTTGAGATTTTGGGCTCCCTAAAAGCATATCATATTGGCCCCCCAACCCAGACCGATCCAATTATGTTCCACATTTTTTAGGACCCTGAGTAACTTAGAATTGCCCTAGCTTTGCCCCCCTTTATGGCACCCCTGGATGTGTGCATTGAACTGCTATTGTGTGACTAGCTCTACCTAACCATTTAACAGATTCCCTACACGGGATCGACTGTCAGCTTCACGGTGTCACATGCTCAGATGAGATGGTGAGGCTTCTTTCATTCACACAGCGTTACTCCTTTCATTCACACAGCGTTACTGCCCATTCACAGGGTCATACCAAGACATGGCCGGACCCCTGGAAAGCTGTACCAAATTCTTCCGTTATCCATGCTCACACACTCATGGATGCCCCCTAATGTCCGAGCCCCTGAAAGTCTTTCTGTTTTTCCTCCCTCATGGGCAGTCCGGGTGCCATACTCACGCGCCATAGGCCGGGATGGGCAGAGGCGGGGCCACGGTGCGGAGCGTGTTGTAGATGCCCCTGCCCCGTCCACGCAGCTGGCTGCCCCTGTAGGTCACTGCAGCCCCGACGGCCGGGTAGGGAAACCCCGTCACTGTGGGAGACAAGCCACCATTAAGGGAGCTGGACAGAGAGACCACTGCCAGAGCGTAGCAGTGTTAGCGGATCAGAAATTAAACAGAGGATCCAAGACAACACCCACTGACTCATCTCAGGGAATTAATGACAATCATGCTTGAGAATCTCCATCCATCCATCCATCCATCCATCCATTTTCGGTAACCACCTGCCCTATTCAGGGTTGTGGGGGGTCTGGAGCCTATCCCAACGGCTATGGGTGCAGGTTAGGGAACAACCCAGAATGGGGCATCGACCCATCACAGGGCACACTCACACACCATTCACTCACACATGCACACCTACGGGCAATTTGGTAACTTCAATTAACCTCAGTATGTTTCTGGACTGTGGGGGGGAACCAAGGTACCTGGAGGAAAGCCCATGAGGACACGGGGAGAACGTGCAAATGCCACGCGCACGGAGCGCTAACCACTGTGCCACCGTGCCGCCCCAGAGAGTCTCTTTGATCATTTTCTTCAATTAAACCCAACTGGCATTCATCTGGCATCACCAGCCTTGTGCTGCACCCCACCCCCCCCCCCCCCCCGGGCCCTGACCAGGATAGGCGGACAGAACAATGATTTAACACAATATTACAGAGAACTGTGACAGAAGAAAATATCAGACCGAGATGAACTGTTGACTTTATTTCCCAGATGATACCATTTTGTATTTTTCTTATGCTTCAAAGCCCAAGAGGGTAATGGGGTTCGGAGTGGCTAAGGGCGAGCTCTGCCGATTAAACTGGGAAGACTGGGATATCCAGCAGCACGTGTCAGGAGCTCTGCCGATTAACCTGGGAAGACTGGGATATCCAGCAGCACGTGTCAGGAGTTCTGCCGATTAACCTGGGAAGACTGGGATATCCAGCAGCACGTGTCAGGA